AAAAAATTAAATTATATTAATTATATTATTATATTAATTATATTATATTATAGTTAATGGTTCTAATTTGTTCTGAATTTTGCAGCCTGCGACTGGAAATCCACTTTTTCTTCTTTGTCATCTCAATAGAATAGAAAGAAGCGGGAAGTTTTCTAGTGTTAGCAATGTGTGTTTTAAGATAGAATCCATCGAGGAGAATAAGCGAAACTGGATCCAAAAAAGCAGAAATCGATTTTTTGAAAAAGATTCGAAAAAAGAAAGTAAGTAGAATTAGATTCAAGATAAAAGAAAAAAAGGTTTTAGTAATTAGTAAAAAAATGTGGATGAATACTTGCTCTTTTCTCGATTTTAGATCGGATTTTTTGGCGGCATGGCCAAGTGGTAAGGCAGGGGACTGCAAATCCTTTACCCCCAGTTCAAATCTGGGTGCCGCCTGATCAATAAAATACTTAGGATTTCAATAAAATACTTAGGATTATAGTACTGATCAAACTCGACAAATTCGTACCCCCCTAAGTTGGGGCACGAGAGTAACTAGGTTTGGCGATACTGGATTTTGAGAATCCATACCATAGTTCTACCCTTAAACTAGGGTTTGTTTTGTGGGCAGTGGCCCAAACGGCTACCAATAGGGATGAGATAGCGTTTCCTTATTCTTTTATTAATTTAAATCGATTCGATTCGGGAATTTAAAACTACGAGACTAAGATGTCAGAAATCTTCGTAGCCAAAGGTCCCTAAGGGGCAGTCTTTTTTCAATCTAAGATTGAAGAAGGGACTTTGCGAAGAAATAGAAAGATTTCCTAATTATCATACATTTTATTTATCGTACATCTTACTACATACACTTAGTACATCTTATGCTACCTACATACACTAAAGTAAAGGCTACTGATTCTGTCGAGAATTAGATTGAATAGGCTGATCAAAAATCAATTTTTGGATTGTGGATAAGACCTCCTTACTCTTTCATAGAAAGATAGAAAGCGGGGCAGCAGTAGGGTTTAGGTCAAAAATAAAAATAAACCTTCTTTGTCATCTCAATAGAATAGAAAGAAGAGGGAAGTTTTCTAGTGTTAGCAATGTGTGTTTTAAGATAGAATCCATCGAGGAGAATAAGCGAAACTGGATCCAAAAAAGCAGAAATCGATTTTTTGAAAAAGATTCGAAAAAAGAAAGTAAGTAGAATTAGATTCAAGATAAAAGAAAAAAAGGTTTTAGTAATTAGTAAAAAAATGTGGATGAATACTTGCTCTTTTCTCGATTTTAGATCGGATTTTTTGGCGGCATGGCCAAGTGGTAAGGCAGGGGACTGCAAATCCTTTACCCCCAGTTCAAATCTGGGTGCCGCCTGATCAATAAAATACTTAGGATTTCAATAAAATACTTAGGATTATAGTACTGATCAAACTCGACAAATTCGTACCCCCCTAAGTTGGGGCACGAGAGTAACTAGGTTTGGCGATACTGGATTTTGAGAATCCATACCATAGTTCTACCCTTAAACTAGGGTTTGTTTTGTGGGCAGTGGCCCAAACGGCTACCAATAGGGATGAGATAGCGTTTCCTTATTCTTTTATTAATTTAAATCGATTCGATTCGGGAATTTAAAACTACGAGACTAAGATGTCAGAAATCTTCGTAGCCAAAGGTCCCTAAGGGGCAGTCTTTTTTCAATCTAAGATTGAAGAAGGGACTTTGCGAAGAAATAGAAAGATTTCCTAATTATCATACATTTTATTTATCGTACATCTTACTACATACACTTAGTACATCTTATGCTACCTACATACACTAAAGTAAAGGCTACTGATTCTGTCGAGAATTAGATTGAATAGGCTGATCAAAAATCAATTTTTGGATTGTGGATAAGACCTCCTTACTCTTTCATAGAAAGATAGAAAGCGGGGCAGCAGTAGGGTTTAGGTCAAAAATAAAAATAAACATGGGTAAGTTAGGTATCCAATAAATATTTATTTATCCTAATTTTATGGTATATTCTTACGTCCTTTGCTTATAAAAAAGGTAACAAACGAAAGAAAAAATCTCTCTATTCCCGCGTCTTCTATTCAGAGCATCCCCTACTCTTTTTTAGGGAAAGAGCGATGTATCATATTTCTACTTAATGCTCTCCAATTCTACCAGAAATCATATAAGAATTTGTTAGGAGTAAATTCCTTTAACGGATTCATCCATAGTCTTAGGGCAGAATAGAATGGCCTTTTTTTTGACTCTGTACCCTTGATTCCACTATGATTATTGATCAATAGTAGAAGAATTCTTTCATAGAAATAGGAGACATAATTTACATGGATATAGTAAGTCTCGCTTGGGCTGCTTTAATGGTAGTCTTTACATTTTCTCTTTCGCTAGTAGTATGGGGGAGGAGTGGACTCTAGGGATACTACCAATTGATTGAGTAGTCGAATTGTAGTATCAACTCTTTTCTTTAATTGATCGTTTTGCATTAATAATTTTGCCAAACTTTATTTTTTCTTTCTTTAGTTTTGTTTCACTCTTGTAAGAAACTCTTTTAAGAAAGTAAGAAAGAGTCGTTCTATTCTACTATGTTCTATTCCAGTATAATAGAATAGAAAGGGCAATTATAGTAACTCATAATTTCTAGTAGAATAGAAATTATGAGTAAAAAGAAAGTTCTATACATAAGAAAATTAGAACATAAGAAAATTAGACTTTCTTACACGAAGCTATTCACAACATATCGCACATTTTCCATTTATACTATTTTCTTATTCTTAGAAAATTTTTTATGTTCTTTTTTTTTTTGAAGGATCTCGATTGAAGCATCTCGCACCTTTTTTAAGCATGAAAGATTCGTAGGTTTTTTCCTTTTACTTTTTTTCTTTTACTATAGTCTATTCTAGTCTATTCTCGTATTATTTTTCTCCCCCTCCTTGGATTCTTTCAATGAAGAATTATCTTCGATTTTTTTGATTTTGACTTGATTGAAATTAAGTGGATGCAGTGAAAAAAGAAGTTGAATTAGACTACTATTTCAATCTACTAATCGATTCTATGTAGATTCAAGATAATATAATAGAAAGAATCTAAAGTGTGGTAGAAAAAACTATATGTAGTTCTACCACACTTTATGATTCCAACCAGACCCTTTCATTTAAGACTTGGATTTTTTATTTTCTTTAATCCCTTTTTCATTTCTTCAATGATTAATTGGAATTCCAATTAATCATTTTGACTGGCTGTTTTTACATAAATAATAAGTAAAAAGGCAGTAGGGACTAGAATGAACAATGCTGTAGCAATAAATGCGAGAATATTGACTTCCATAACTTCTTTATTTTTTTTTCACAATAACTCGGGATGTAATCCCATGGAGAGGAAAAAGGGGTATCCTGTAAATTCAAGGGGAGGACTTGCATTCTGATAATACTGAATCAATTCAATATTATGAATATTGGATCTATCAAATCAATTCATGGTTGATAGTGGAATAATATAACATAGGAAGATCTCTTATCCATACTAAGACCAAAATAGGTTTTTTGATTGGATTCGAAACCCCCTCTATTCTATTTTTCATTCTTTTCTACTTTTGCTTTTCTATATGTATAACCCAAAATCTTTCTTATCTTATCCAATTTCCCTTCCTTTTTCTTATAGTTATACATACAATTATGTATGTATTATATGACCAACTTTCTATGGGTCACATAGACATCCCAATAAGCAGTAGAAGTAGAAATGAGATGGAGAAAAGAGGATCTTAAATAAAAAGGATCCCATATTTTAATTTAGGAAAAAGAGCGTTTGCTTGGTTTTTATTTTATTAGGTTACTATCAATATACGCTTTTTGGGGTCTAAAGATGAGAGCAAATCCATAAAAAAAGGAGTCGGCAAATGGAGTGAGAATGAGATGGATTCTTTCCAATTATTCATTGAACATACACAAACAAAGTTGGAACTAGAAAATGGAAGGGGTGCGGTTTAACCCCCAAAAAGTAACTAATTAGATGAAATTCATTCTCTAACAATAAACGAATACGGTTTATGTATGGATTCCGGTAAAATACCGGTACTCGATTTCATAAGAGTCGAATAGGAAGTTAAGATGAGGGTGGTATAATCATAAAAATAGAGTAGTATCCTAAATTATACTAATCCACGTATGATATGTATGCCTTTCCTTATGCACCGGAAGTAGTGAAAAAAAATTCTATACTGCACTGCTCTCTTTTTACTGAGAAATGCAAAAAAAGAAAAGTGAAGTAAGGGTGCCCCATAGATATTTGATCTTGCCTCCTGTCCCCCCCCTTTTTTTTTCATCAAAAATTTCCATGAAAAAAGGAAAGATGAATTTGTCCATTCATTGAACCCTAGTTCGGGACTGACGGGGCTCGAACCCGCAGCTTCCGCCTTGACAGGGCGGTGCTCTGACCAATTGAACTACAATCCCTGCGGGGTGTATGGCATGGCATGCCTATTCTTAAATAGAAGATTCGATCCGTCTGTCGTGCTCTAAGAAATAGACGAATCATATACTACATACCCGCATATCCTATGTGGGTATAGTGAGAGTGGCATAACTAGTATGTTGCGATTTTTTATCCCTAAAAATAAACGATAATCCGCCTTTCCATAAGAAAGGCTCTTTTCTTTGTCTTTTCTTTGTAAGATAAAGAATCAGAGAGATATGGATTAGAAATCAATTTCCCCGTTTCTCTTTATCCTTTATTTCTATGGATAATCCATTTTTTTTCTTCCATAAAAAATAATGGATTTAGTTCATATTCACGAAGCCCTAAATTTTTGGGCCGAGCTGGATTTGAACCAGCGTAGACATATCGTCAACGAATTTACAGTCCGTCCCCATTAACCGCTCGGGCATCGACCCAGGAAGAATTTATTCTAGGCTTTTTGATAATCTATGATTAACCTCTTTTTATAATACTCCCTACCCCCAGGGGAAGTCGAATCCCCGCTGCCTCCTTGAAAGAGAGATGTCCTGAACCACTAGACGATGGGGGCATCACTAGACGATAGCACCGTATACAACCACTCGTCATTATACTATAATGATAGTATGAGCAGTTTTTTGGAATTGTCAATATACTCTTCGAACTAGATCAAAGAAAAGAGTCTTTACTACTTTTCTGTTATGCTTTCATAGGATTTTTTTTAGTTGATGGTTAGGTTAATTCACGGATCATCCCCTACCTTTTAAGCTTTTTAAGGTTAAGGAAATTCGTTTAAAGGGTATAGAATAAGAATAGACTAATAAAAAGGAATCTAAATTAGTTCAGTACAGGTATTGATTTGATTGCTATAACAGGAAAAAGAGTCCAATTTCATTTTTTTTTGCAATTTGAACTCTGTGCTTCGTTTAGTGTTCAACGAGTGGCTCGCCGTCCTCCTCTTCACGCTCACCCGCGCCTTCCCCGACATCGCGGCCCGCGCCTGGGACTCCGACGGGGAGTTCCTCCTCATCGAGGCCGCCTTCACGCTCCCGCGGTGGCTCGACCCGGAATCCGCCCCCAATCGCGTCTTCATCTTCCGCGGAGAGCTCCACATCCTGCCGCCCTCCCTCTTCCCCGAGACGCCGTCGCTGGAAGCCGCGCTCGCCGCCGTCTACGACGACTCCATCGATACCCGCGCCGCCGACGCCATCCAGGCGGCCATACAGCGCCGCATCGCTGGGCTGCCCGAGAAGGCGGCGGAGAACCTACACACGGCACGCGTTATCGTCCCGGCGCCCGTCGCAAAGGTGCTCAAGGAGGAGCCATGCCTGATCGCGCGTGCCGTCGAGGGTTTCTACGACCGGGACATAGACACCATGAAGCATGCGGCGAGGATGGAAAAATTCCTCAAGGGGCCTGGTGGCGAGGGGGTTGAGATGGTGATAATCACGGTACGCATGACGCGGGCAATGTACGCACAGCTTGCGCAGCAGAACTTTCAGGCTCCCAGGGGGTACCCGATGCCTAGGAGGGAGGAGGGGCCAGAGAAATGGATGGAGGCAGAGCTGGGGATGAAGATTGCCTGCGGATTTGAGATGATGTACCAGGAGAGAAGACGCCAGGGTGAGGAAGGTAAAGGGAGCACGTGGGAGGTTTACAGGAAGAGCTTGGAGGCAACCGGGTGCTTTGAGGGGCTGCTTCCTGGGTCAATGGAGTATAAGAGGGTCATGGAGGATGCAATGCAATATTACAAGAGCTCTAATTTGTATTCCCGAACAAGGTGCTTCGAGTCACTCTTTCTAGCCATGTGGATTTACCTATCTGTTTCGTTGCTATGCCAAAGAATGTTATTGTGCAACAATCCCATGCATAAACTGTTTAATTTCTAGTAATTCACTACTCTTTAAAAAATATACCTGGTTTGATGTACATTATTTGTCTTTTTTGAAGAACATTGTAGCCATTATCTCTATTGAATATAAGAATGTACAAAGTAGTGGGTGTGACCGCTGGTGCAAGCGGTAGAGCCTTACCTTTGTTGACCGGAAGGTCCGGGGACCTCGAAGGTCCTCGCATTGTTGTGCAAAGGTAAGGCTTCTCCTCAGCATAGAGCGGGAGCTGCTGGCAGACCGGCACGCCTTTTTTTTTTACAAACTAGTGGGTGTCATTTCAGTAATTCTTGAGGCTATCTGGATTTCTTTACTATACATATGATTTCTATTGAACTTGATTAATTAATGCAAATGCCTCAGCTTTTAACACTCTTGCAATATGTCACAGGAGATACTGAGTGAACCAGAGCTGAATTGATGGAATAGGAGGCACTGATCTTCCTGGAGTGATGATGACTCTGATTGAGGTGGGGATGACCAGTTAAATGCAGCTTGAAACAGAAGGAACCAACATGAAACAAACGTCATGCAAAGTGTCTCTAGCAGTTGAAATCCCAGACAGACGAGTTTAAGCTTGGAGAGGCGTCCATGCAAGAGTTCACGCATAAAATGTCCAGCTTCACCAATATTCCTCAGACAGGTTTTGCATCTAGACTTGTTTCTTATTTCCGACATTTTTTTCCGCTTTTGATTAATATCATTAGGGAACTTATATTCTTCATTAATTTAGTTTTGTTTCTCTGATTGTTGCTTAAGCCTGTAATCTGTCTTATTTTAATTAAGATAGTTTCATATCCAAACTAGCAACTGAAAAGAGGTGGATCCAAACTAGCAACTGAAAGGTGTACCTGTGCCAGGCATCTGTAGCATAGTGATTTCCAAATTTGAACCAAGATACACTAAAATGGAATCTCATTTCCTTTACAATTACTGAAATGTCTGTTATGTCTGGTGACACTTAAGCATAGAAGATAAAAGTAGAACAGCTCTAGAAAAACTTTTAATCTGACTGGAGAACAAATAACGCCAACAGACATTTGATTACAATTATTTGAGTTTTAAACATATGTTTATCTGTTAAGTTATCCATAGTTTTACTATGTATTCTTCATCTTCACCTAGTAGGTGCTCATCTTATATTCTTGTGTCTCTGTTGGAGACATTTCTTCTTGTACTCCATCTTTTCAGACCAACCTACAGTGACATTTAAGAGGACAGCGATAAGCATGGAGCTGCAGTCTTATCACTTGAGGATACCTTAGGATGTGCCTTGAACTCAATTATCCACATAAAGTGGTATTGAATGCTCAGAGTAGTGTTAATGGATTAAGCTTGTTGCCTTAGATCTGGATGCATTTAATCCCCAAGTCGCAACAGTTGTAAGCCAAGTTCAAGTTGGGATCGAATAGGACAATCCCAAGTTTGAATACTTGAGCATTCTGTGATATAGAAAAGGTGGCTAGATTATTTTGGCATGTGTTGCCAATAAGGTTCAGTGGCAATACTAAAATTTGACCTTTTTCTTTTATAACTATTTAACTGAGCACCTGTGCTACTTGATAGGTCCTTTTGGTATTCATCAATTTTTCCATCGGTTTGAGAGATGGAAGGTTGTACTCATCTTCAACCCATGGAATTGGTTTTAGGTGGAGGTTCACAAGAGCAAGCTGGCAGTGATGATGGAAGAGGTCACGCCACATGGACTTTGGTATCTCTTTCTTTCTTCAAGTTAAAACGCTCTTACTTTCTTTATCGATCATGGTCAATGGATCATAGACCACGGACTGTAGAAACCATGAATTTTTCCAACTTTCTTCCTGTTATGACGCACGATGTCGTGAAGAAGAAGGCACGAGCAACCGACGCAGCGCCGTGTAAGGGTGTGCCCCAACGGAATGAAGTGGGCGCCAGCGCCCAAGGGAGACTATTGGAGCTACCTTTCCATTAACCAAGAGTTGGACTCTTATACAATCGACTCTAACAACGCGCGGAAATGAGGATGACACTCAAACCCTTGCCAATGGACCTTAGGAAGGGCCTCGGCCGGGAGTCGGACTCATTTGTCCATCCCACGATGACCCCGACCATAACATCTCCGCCCTCTCCGTAAACGGCTCGTCACAGGCTGGAACTCGATGATAAGGTGAAACTTCGAGTGACCAGAGTCGCCTCGGTGTAATCTCGCCATTGAACAAGCACATGCCACTGGCATGTGGAGCGGAGCGGAGCACGTCCAGGCGTAAGCACAACGGCCATGACGAATAGGAGGCAGACGATGGAGGCGATAATGTTCAACACACCAACATGAAACACGTCATGAACGTGTCCTCGGTGGCGGAGGCGATACGCCACTTCACCAATACACTCCACAACTCGATAGGTCCCGCGCGCGCCGCATCGTTCCGAGCTCGGTGGATCAATGAAGGACTAAGAGCGAGCGACGCCGCCGCACCGACGAGGCGCATCAAGACGAAGCACGCGCAAGAAGTCGAGGAACACACTTTGTAAACTCATGGAGCACATCGAGCCCTCACGCACGACCAGCACATAGGGGGCCGTTGCCGTAGTCGCCATAGACCACGGTGAATGGCGAGGTCCGAAGAGCCGAATGGTAAGCGGTGTTGCCGAACTCCCTAAGGAAATAATCGAGCCAATCGCGAGGACGATCACCGGTGAGGCCGCCAAGGTACATGGTAATCAATCTTTGCGACATCGTCATCGGTTTGAGGATGGAAACTCATCTTCAATCGCACACCACATCGCGGAAGAGGTCACGCACACATGGCCGGTGTAAAAACGGGTCGCGTGACAATGGAGTACGGAAACCATGAAGGCGAGCGTCGCCACGGCACGTCTCCGTGTAAGGGTGACCGCGGAATGAAGTGGGCGTGCTTGGAGAACCCACATGGTGGTTTGTTGCCATCCCGACCGAGACAATGCATGAAGTCCATCGCAATGCGACGCAAGACGAACGGCCGCAGGAGACCGGTTGGTGTAGAGTCTCCGTTGTACGGTTCAGCACCACGCCAAAATCATAACCGATTAGTTTGTCGAGGCGCCCAATGATGTTGTGGGATGGTGGATGTAAAACCGTCGAGAAGGAACTTCAACGCATAATGAGCCAGCCGCACGCGCGCGCCGACAAAGGCCCGCCCCAAAGGTACGGCGGCCTCAAACTCACATCGGCTCGCCGAGCAATTTGGAACTACGTATGAGGCGCCGCCACGGTCGCCTCCGGACCGCGCAAAGCACCGTTCATATGCCGCCACGTCGAGACAATGCATCGCGCCGTTGAAACGACAGTGAAGAACGCGATTAGGGGGCCTGCCCTTGATGCAAGAACGTTTCGGTCGAAAGGAACCGATAATGATCAAACCCGGAGCCCGCCCCCAAAAAGGTCACGGGCGTAACGGCTGCGATCGACAACAAATTGCCGCCCCAGTGGTCGAAATCGGCCGGAAGATGCGATGGGGCTCGCCCTTTGATGCAAGGCCGCGACAAAGGCCGACTTCTGGGCCGTGAATCGGGGCCTGATAGTGCCGACTTCAAGGCCGTGAATCTCGCGTCGGCGACCTTCATCCACAGAACGCGTTCTTCCAAGAAGAGGCTTGTCAATGGCGCCGCGAGGGTGCCATAATCCTTGATGAACCGCCTATAATACCCCGCCAAGCCGAGGAATCGCGGAGACCACGTGCGATCGCGAGCTGCGCTACACACGATTGCACCGCTGCGACTTTGGATACGTCCATGGAGACACCTTCATGCGAGATCACATGTCCTAGGTAGTGAACTGATGTAGCAGCGAAGGAACACTTGGACTTTTTGAGGTGCGACTTGTGCGCCAAGAGGACATCCAGGACCGCGCGCAGTCGCAAGAGGTGCTCCGTCCACATGGCGTCAGACGACGAGGATGTCGTCGAAGAACACAAGCATGCAGCTGGTCGGAGGAACCGCTTCAACACTAGGTTCATGAGCCGAACGTGGGACGGCGCGTTGGAGAGCCCAAACGGCATGACCAAAAATTCAAAGTGGCCGTGGTGAGTGCGGAACGCTGTCTTAGCCACATCGTCAGGGTGAACTCGCACTTGATGATATCCCGAACGAAGATCGAGCTTCGTAAAGAACTTGGCGCCATGGAGCTCATCGAGTAATTCCTCAACAACTGGTATAGGAAATTTGTCCTTCACGGTGGCTGCATTGAGGGCGCGGTAGTCCACGCAAAATCGCCATGAGCCATCTTGTTTCTTGACGAGCAACACCGGTGCCGAGAACGGAGAAGTGCTGTTGCGGATCGTGCCTTTGCTGCAACATCTCCTCACATTGTCTTTCCAGCTCATCCTTCTAGAGCTGAGGATAGCAATAGGGACGTACTGCCACGGGCTCTGTGGGACGGCTTGAGGTGGTGGATCCTGTGGTCACACGCGACGAGCCGGAGGCAGGCCCGTCGGCGCCACGAAGACATCAGCATATGAGTCCAAGTAGGCACTCGAAAGCAAAGGCAGTGAGCTCGGTCCCCTTGGCCGAGAGCCCCGAGCGGCGAGGAGGCAACCTGTCGGAGGAAGGGCCGCGCCGGCGGTGAGCCGACACCCCGCCACAAAGACGCGACACCCCTGGTATGTGAACGCCATGCACAAGGTTGTCGAAGTCCCAGTATCGGGCCGGCGTGCGGAGCCATGTGATGCCGAGTACCATGTCGTAGGAGTCCAGCGGAATGGAGTAGCAGTCAACCTTGAAAGTTTCACCGCCGATCCGGAGGTCGACGTCCACGAGCCAAGCCGTGACACATGACGCGGTCACCGTTAGGCCACGACGACATGGGCACCTCGCTGTCGTGGAACTGAAGTTCAGCCGCGTCGTGCGGCGGCACCACTGATGAAGTTGTGTGTAGAGCCCGAATCCAGAGCGCGGTAAGCTCATGTGCGCCCACTCGAACGCGGCTGCATGGTGTCCGCCGTCCGGATACCGGTGATCGCCGAGAGAGATATCAGGGGCTTGTCCGGGTCGAACGAGTTGTCAGCCGACGGCGTAGCTGGTGCGTCGTCGGCGTCGTCCGGCTCCTCCAGGTTGTTACGACGTCGTGCTTTGCTTCGGAGGAAGTAGGGAGGGGAGGTTGGAGCGTGGGGGCGCGCTCGTGAACGTCGAGACGGCGCCGTGTTCTAGAGTTCGCGTGCGGCAACAGGGAAAACGGGGAACAGGGAAACGGGAGCGCCAGGCGCCCAAGGGAGACTATAAGTCTCAATCCCAGGCTACCTTTCCATTAACCAAGAGTTGGACTCTTATACAATCGACTCTAACAACTTGACGTTGGAAATAAGGACTCTAGTTGCTAACAAACTCAAACCCTCTAAGACTCCTAACAATGCTAACAAACTAAATCTTCTTCTGGGACTCCACCTGACCAGTTGGCAACGTTGGCACGTAACGACCGGAGCCGGACCTGTTTGGCTCACCCACGATGCTTGTTCCTCCTCTCATATGTGACCCCGACCATAACACTTCCACATTTAATATTCTTGTTTGCATTATTGCATACTCTATGATTTAAGGAATACAACTGAGAGCACAAACCACCAAGTGTGGTAATATAATCAATGGTATTTTGCTTTACTTCTGTGAATTTTGATTACCTTGATTTGAGAGCTTTGCAAACTAATTATTTAGTTGATCATTTTTTTCATTGAACTGGATGATTAAAGTGTTACCTTGATTTCTTAAGTGGTTCGATACTTAAATGGAGTAACTGAACAAACAAGACTGGCAGTTAGTTAATAGTGAACGGGCAGTAAAGTATCCTAAGATATTTTTGGGGTTGTTGAAACCTTATGGCCTCTTTGGCACAGCTTTTGGGGGCTGACTTCTCCACTTTTTGTCACTGTACAAACGGCTTCCATGAGCCGGCTTCTAGCTGTTTTGAGGGAGGAGAGAGAAAAAAATCTCAATGGGCAGTGTAGCTACAGTGCATGAACAGTCGATGTCGAGAAGCTGAAACCACGTGAATCCGTGCCAAAGCTATGGTACTACTTTGATTCTTTGAAGAACTGCTGCTCATTGGTCACTAGTTCTTTCAGTTCCTCAGCATGTATCCCACAAACTTTATTGCTTCGTTCTTCTACTTTGGTGATAGCTGAAATGTTTTTTTTTATAACTATGATAGCTGAAACGTTGAATCCTATTTTTTGCTATGAATTTTAAAATACTAAGAATGTTTGTGGTGATGCAGATGATTCTGATGAAGACAATGATTTTGCTGAAGAATTAGGTGACAAGGATGTGGATGATTCTTTTATGGAGTCATATTCAGATGCTTTAAATAAAGAGCTAAGCAGTACCACTCTTGAGAAAAGCTTTGCTCGTGCACCACGACCGGAAACTAACAATGAGGTAGCCTTGTGTATTTGAGATGTTACATGCTTTTTTTCATTTTTTATGTGTAGGATAGATAGGACACTGTCTCTGAACCAAATGCTTGATATGATGTATATTTGTCTATATTCGAAATTGTTTCTTAAAAGTCATGATGCTCTTTTGTAAATGCAAATTTTTTTTTCATATGAAGGTTTAATGAGGATAGAGTTACATTATGTGCTCATTTGGTTTTAAATCACCACAAGAACTTCTCTGAACTCTTAACTATCTTCTAGTTACTATAATTGCAGGTTTTTAAGTCACTTCTGTGTTATTATAATTGCTATGATGTTACCTTTCAAGGTTGCATGCCATGTTTTAAGTTTCTCTAAGGATGCTGTAATTGTTGTAGATCTGATACTAACATGCATAGTTAGGTTGACTAATTAAACGTGGTTAACCAATGTTGAAGCTGAAGAGATTTATCAATTAGCATCTCTCCCTATAAATGTACTAAAAAGAAGAGATGAATGCCGTAATCTTCTCTTCATTTCTGTGGTCTCTGCCTGCATACTCGTTTTGTTAATTCAAATCAATTTGCTGGTCTTCTAGTTGTCTATCATTTGCATAATCAGTCAAGTCTATAATGTATATCCAACTTCACTCATGTTCAGTTAACCCTGCATTTACCAAATCAAATTGCAGATTTCGGCTTCTGCCTATATTAGATTAGAAACCAGGCATTTGCTGCTGTTCAATTTTACTTACCCAAAGCAATGTGTGGTATATTTTGCATTGCAGGGTCCATCAGATGATGCAGCTACTGATGCAGAGATGACTCCAGTTGATGTAGATCTGAACCTTGTCGAAAGCATTCTTAACTCCTACTCTTCGCAACAAGGTCTTCCCGGTCCGGCTTCCAATCTGCTAGGACTCATGGGCGTAAAGGTCCCTCCAGATGCTAAAAAGTCGTGATTTTTGTTTTCCACTAGTGTACACGTGAGATCTTGGGAAGTTGTTGGGATATATAGGAAAAACTTATCTTCCATATCTGGGTGGTTAATTTGTTGTGATAGTACAGGGGGTTGCTAACCACACTTTGTCACACTTCACTTTAGCCAAATTTGATCAAATTGGCAAATGTTTGGTTGGCAATTAAACTTACACAGGAATATTTTGTGCTCCATATGAGTAAAAAAGTGTGGCAAGATTCAGGCATAACAAAACATGGCTCTAAAATTTCTAGCCACACGTTGACACACTTGTCTAAGGTTAGTTGTGGCCATTTGTGGCTAGAAACCATACTGCCCCATATGTCTTAACTCTTAACCTCAATATCATACCTGTAAACAGAACCCTGAGAAATGGAGCAGCAAGTATTTGTTTTTGACAAGTATGGACTATCAATGTACCGTAGATGTATCACTGTTTTTGATATGGTCGTACAGCAGTTGTAGGCTTGTAGCTGTGCCGGCTATGCAAGATTTGGGTGCGGCAGTGAATTATTGAGATCTGACGAAGCTATAGGAAACCTGCCAATTTTGTGGTACTAGCTATTATTCTGCACTTCGGGGTGTAGTAATCTTTCGTGGTCTGGATAAGGTAGAGGTAACTGACGGAAATAATCCAGTGGTCACATTTGAGTTTGATCGAGTAGTGTAAGCTTTGGCAATAAAGTTCTATCGAGTTTATAGTTTGTTGCAGATATGTCTGCGAAAGTCTAGTTAAAACATCGAACAGACAGCGCCCAGCAGGGCAGTTCTAAATGCTCCTTTTTATGTTTTTCTTTTTTTGGGTTTGTGTTGTAAAATAAGGAAGCGAGGAGACAGAGAATAAAACGGATGGTCAGGAGGTGCAGTTTAGAACTGTACTCCTCCAAGAAAAAAATTCGTTTTGACATATTTATGATACTAAGGAGTGATTAATTATGGTGTATTTTTTTATGTCTGAAAAAAAAATCGTTTTGATATATTTATGATACTGAGTGATTAATTAGGGTGTATTTTTTTATGTTTGCCCTTATTAAATATGGATGCGGTCATCACCCGTACAGTAAACATTCGTAGTTGGAGTTGTAGATGCGCAGCCTTCCGAAGCTGGACGGACACGCTTCGATTCTTCTCGGGTGCGGTATTTTTTGAAAAGCTCATGAATTTTGCGGCGAACAAGAGTCCAGATTGAGTACCTGCTGCGGCATCATGGAGTCCCGCTCGAGGTCCAGCTGCGCCATCTCCATGGCGCGAGCGAGCTTCACGACGGAGTCAGGCGCGACCTCCATGTCATCCTTCGGCATCTTGGGATCAGGCGCGAGCGGTTCCGGCGCCATGGAGTCAGGCGCGAGCTCCATGTCATCCGGCGTCGGCGACGGGATTCACGTCGATGAAGCGCATCCTCGTTAATGGCCGCATGGATGTACGTATTGGAAGAGGCCGCAGGCGGAGTATACGAAGCCGTCTAGTTATTAATGTACGCATGCCACCTTGCACTGGAAACGAACTCCTTTGTGAAAACCTTCAACACCCTCAAAGCGAACTTTTTTAAGGGACGGAGGAAGTACAGAATCAGGGACCGTTTGGAAGCAAGAAACGGTTTCGATTCTTACCAGAATTGGTAGAAACGGCACCAAACGCTTTAACTGTGGTGAAACGTTTCAGCTGGTTCTGTGTTTTTTGCCTGCGTGAGTGAAACTGCTCTGGACTGGTTTCGGTGGATTTCTGTTTTCTCCCGTACAATGGCGACGGTTTTTATTTTAATTATCCTTTTTAGGTGCAACAAGTTAAAATATGTATTTAAGATATTCTGCACCCACAAAAAGTTCTAGATTCTTTTTGAAGCATTTTTTTATTTATATGATTTTTTATATTTATTTTTGGAATTCGAATCTAGCCCACCAGGCAAACGATTTTATAACGTGATTCTGATTTACCATCTAAAACGTCTTTTTAAGAGAATTTGGATCTAAAATATTTTTACGAAAATCTAGATCTGTGCTGAGCACACTTAAAAAAAAAGGAAAAAAAAGAAGCTACTCCTGGTTCCTGCCTCTTCGATGCGTCCAACGGTTATGCCCCTATTTGCCCGCAGCAGTCAAAGATCTACAGGGCTCCTGCCCGGAATCGTGTACTCCTTCAAAGGACAGGATAAACTACCGATAAGCAAGGGCAATCAGGCATCAATCCCCTGATCGTTTGCATTTGCTTAGCTGATAAGCCATGGCTGAAAGTACGGTTGACTGATTTGGTATGAGAGAAAAATACTATTTGTTGGCTAAAAAAATATAGCTTATAAACCAAATGTTTTAAGCGAACAAGACGAATATTATCAATATCTTGTTAATCTTCTTTCACAATTAGTCCAACATGGCAGCCTGGCCACCAGGGTTGCGCATCGCAATATCAATCTTATATTAATCTTCTTTCACCAGTATTCTTTCACCATTAGTCCAACATGGCAGCCTGGCCACCAAGGTTGGGCATCGCACTAGACGACGAAAACGAAACTACAGAAAAACAACAAAAGCAAGCAAGTCCTCAATCGTGGCGTACGCGGCCACAAGTTAGCGCATTTTTTCTTTACAAGAAATCAGCGGGTGTAGCACTGTGGCCCCCATTCATTTGATCTCGAACTTTACCTAAACCTATTTGAAAAATACCATTCTATTTGAATTGTTGTGAGAGAAAAACACTGTTTCAGCTGGAAAAAACAAGCCGAACAAAACAAATTTAAAATAAACGAACGGGCCTGTGTCGTGATGGGCCCTAAAGAATTATACGCAAAGGCCGAAGAACCATACGCTGTGCTACGTGATTTGTTTTTTTTTGGGAACAGTGCTACGTGATTTGTTTGTTCACTGCAGCCGGGATAAAGACACGCGATACTTTTCACCATCAAGTATTCAAGTGGCTAATCACGCATACCAAAATAGAGTAGGTCTCCGGAGTCCGGAATCCGGATGCAGATTCGCATCGTTCTCTCTCCCCGATCCCCGTCCGTCGCTGCCCCCCTCCCGGTCCCGGCTGCGCGGAACCACGTTTGCGCGCGCGCACGGCGCTGCCGTTGGCCCTTCCCCGCGAATCTCCCCCCACGAGATGGGATTCGCGAGAGATCGCCCAATTGACGCGGTAGGCGGTCGCGCGCGGCGGCGAGAAGAGACGCGCGCGGCAGCGCGCACGGGCACGGCGGCTAAGTCCACTGCAAGATGCCAAGCAGATCGCTGTCGCGCATGTCCCGAATCCGATAGTGAGGCGCAGCGCGCCCAGGTCCAGCTGGATTGGAGGGGAAAAAAATGGTAGCCGCCGAGGAAGGTTCCTCTCGGTACCGGAGGAAGGAGTTTGCGCAGGAAGAGCGAGGCGTAAAAACCGAAGGACCGCGGCGTCACACCCATCTTTGGAGGAGAACGACGGGAAATGGGCTAGGTGCGTCCATGATGTCACTGCCGAGCTGCACCTTGCTCGAATGCAGTGTAGTGTGAATCGGTTGGTCGTCAGTTGGTGCCGTGCAAGTGCAATTTCCATGGACGCTTTTGTTGCACTTTTGGGCGGGGCACACACACTCGGTGATGTTCCAACCTGGACATGATAGCAATTTGTTGGATTTGCCGTCGCTATCGTGGGAGGCTTCTGAGTTGGACTTCTATGCACGAGCCCATACCAGAGCCCCAATTCCCAGAATTAGCACACATATCATACGTGGATGGTCGCTCAGTTTGAATGATCTGACCATCAAAATTTTACAATTTTTTTCGGGATTAGTTGTTCCGACACCTACGAGACAGCTGAAACAAGTATTTACCATTAAGACAAGTGAATATGACCAATTGTATTGATAGATAGATTAGCCCACCGGAGTTTCATGTGTTTGGAGGGGGAGAGGAAGCTGTTGACGGAGAGTTAGGAGATCCGCTCCGCCCACGAGAACTTCATGTGTTGGAATTGACAACTGGCGGCGTGTTATTCGAAGTTCCTCAGCCGTCCATATAACCGAAAAAACATTTGGACGCTCCTCCAAAAATCCAGGGAGGACAGTCAACCATTGGACAGGAACTGTGTCCATATTTAGATCAAGTTCTTTTTTTGATCCTAGATCGAGTTCTTACTCCAACATTATCCATGTTTATCCGCAGCAACGAGATAAACAGCCAAAATTAGCAATTCCGCATGCAAGTCAACGCACCATTGCAGAATTCCTCATGCAAACGACATAAAGGACACCCGATCGCCAAACTTGATCACTGGAGCCGGGTAGATCATGAGAAATTCAGCGAGTAGAAAAATATCTGACGAACACGAACCCGATGCACGGCCGCACTGATCCCAAGCAATAATTACCGGGCCCACCCTGTCGATTAAAAAGAGCTCCCATTCTCCCAGAAGGCCAGAATTTTAGCCCACCTAGGCTTTATTTAGATTGTAAATATTTGGGATACTATAGCACGTTTCGTTTGTATTTGATAAACTTTATCCGATCATAGACTAACTAGGATCAAAAAATTCGTCTCGTGATTAAAACCAAACTATGCAATTAGTTATTTTTTTACATATATTTAATGTTTTATGTATGGGTCAAAAATTGATATGACGAAGAGAGTGAAAAAACTTACCTCCTCCCATCAAACGACATAAAGGACACCCGCCTCGCGTTTATAAGCCACCCTTCTTCCTCGTTCCTCCACGGTCCTCGCCTGCAAAGCACAGACACAAATCACGAGCGCCAAAGCGAATCAGCCACGAACCATGGCGGCCTCACGCGCGCTCCTCCCCAGCCCGCAGGCGAGCGCGAGCCCCGCTCGGGCGCGGGCCCGCCTGGCCGTGCCGTCCTCGCTCATCACGCTCGCAGCGCGCGGCGGGGCCAAGGCCAACAGCACGCGGCTCCGCGTCCGGTGCGCGGTCCTGTCGTCGCCTGCGCCCGTGGCGCCCTCGGAGTCGAAGCCGGCGCACCGGATCTCGCGGTCCGGTTCCGACGGCGCGCTGCGGCCCAAGCCGGCGGTGCTGGTGGCCGAGAAGCTGAGCGAGGCCGGCCTGGCCGTCCTGCGGGAGTTCGCGGACCTGGAGTGCGCCTACGGCATGTCCCCGGCCGAGCTCCTCGCGAAGGTGTCCCAGTTCGACGCGCTCATCGTGCGCAGCGGCACCAAGGTGACGCGGGAGGTGCTGGAGGCGGGGAGGGGCCGGCTGCGGGTGGTGGGCCGCGCGGGCGTCGGGATCGACAACGTCGACCTCCAGGCCGCCACGGAGGTCGGGTGCCTCGTCGTCAACGCGCCCACGGCCAACACCGTCGCCGCCGCCGAGCACGGCATCGCGCTGCTCGCCTCCATGGCGCGCAACGTCTCGCAGGCGGACGCGGCGCTCAAGGCCGGTGAGTGACATGATGATGATCACCGTCTCGATCTTCCTCGGTTGGTTGTCTGATTAATTAACTTCACATTGGCTGCGTGCGTCTCATTTGTTTTTTCTGCTGCGGGTGGTTAATCATGTTGGGTTGGTTGACGGGTTAGATGCCAAACCAATGAACAGTGAAGCCATTCCTAGTTTATTGGCATTGGTTAGGATGCGAGCAGATTGCATTGTTTGATGTCGCCATCGGATCTGGCAACGCAAATTAAATTAAGATGGAGCGGTTAAATAGTCCCTGATGCTTAGTGATACACCAAATCCATTACAAACTTTTCTTCTAATTAGATATTAGTACTGTCTTCCCCTTGGAAAGTTGAGGATAGCACTGGCTTTTGTAGTTTTGTTTCCTGACGAGTGACGACACGCATGAGCATCCCAGGCTCCCAGCTTAGGCAATGGCTCCGCTCTTAAACAATTTTGGGCCCTCGTTTGAGGCCACCGTCGAATTTGGCAGATCGAAGTAGAGAATAAAATAGACCTGGAGCACTTAATAATTTCTGGTGCCTGATTTGTTTTGCAAACTTAATTCTAATTGAATATTCTCATCGGATAAATAAAGGAGTAGAGGATGGATAGCGCTGATATGATTTGTAATTGTTACGTTGTCTCGTGAGAAAGCACGAGCATCACTGCTTAGGCTACAGTTTTATCCAACCGGCTTGTTCACTGTGTGCTGATAAGCCTGGCTCATACTGGTTCGTTGTGAGTGTTGTGAGAGAAAAACACTGTTGGCTGACTGATAAGCTTTGATTGAAACCATCGGACGAACAGGCTCAACAACTAATAATGTCTTCTATTTTAACTTTTAAGATAGTGCGATCCATTTCTACATCACTGTTATTACTAGCGTACCACCTATCTAGTTTTACAGTTCAACCATGCCACGCTGGGCACCGAGCCACAAATTTGCCGTTTGCTGGGTCCACGTGCTTCTCTTGCAGTACACTGAATTTTATACTGTATTACTGTAATTTTCTTCCTTCATCTCTCCACATGGCGGCTTAACTTTTATTTTTAAAAAACGTGTACAGTACAGTATTAGTATGGTCAAATATCTCCTGTGGTCCCCGTTAGTCAGTGTATGGCAATTGGAATCTCTAAACTGACAATACAGGATGTGTGCTGAAAGATGGGCAGGTTCAATGAATCCGCTTGCCTACAGTTTCTCTACTTGTGCCCACCATCTCACAGCGAATCATTATTTCGATGTTTAGGCACACTGTAGCAAGGCCATAGAGTACCATACACATAGGCATATACGTGTGACGTGTCCAAACAATGCATATAATTATTGAAGGCATCTGGGGAATCTTGCTTCTGGTGTAAAGTATTCTAAATTATGTGCCATAATTCTTATGCTTTGCACCAACAGACCGTTAGGCCCCCCTTTATCTCTCGCTAGCTGCTAGCACCAGCCACGAGGGCAACACCAAAGAAATTGCCACTACGGTCCTTTTTATCTATATGCAAACGCTTGCCCATTATTGTACTATCTTGTTGAACTATTTTTCGTTGCCTTAAGGGCGCATATCTTTGATTAGCATTTTTCGGAACACACACAAGGGCAACCTCTACTTTCAGCTAACGAATTGATAGTATAAAAAGGTGTACTATCGAATGCGACTGATTGCCTAAGACCGGTTAACCTACTGAAACAATCATTTGATTTAATTGGTTGTGATGTTGACTTGATTACTGCTGTATTTGATTGAAAGTCTATTGCTCATTTTCAATCCTTTGAAAGCCCATTTCTTGTAACGACAGCCCACCAATATACCGAAGACAAGTTATCAGTCTGACCAAAAGAGACGCATTCTAATTCAGGGTGGGTGGGGGTGTTTATCCTGTTATTCTGAAATCATAGGAACAACATAGGAATAAAATGTTTTTTTTGAAACAATGACAGGAGCTTTGCTTCTCAATTAAGGCAAAAAAAAATTTATGTACAAGAGGAATAGAATGTCCTAACATCTTGTATCCTATTGATTGAGAAAACACAGAAAACAGATCAAACATTTGCATGGGGGGAGCAGGCAAAACACAAGAATTTGATGAGAGAGAATGACACAAAGGAAACTTTCCATGATATTCAACCTATTGGTAGAATTCCAAATGATATCATAGGAAATTTTCCTCTAGGGTTTCAATCCTCTAGAATTCCTCTATTTTTCCTTTATTCCAAAGGGGACCTAAGATGGGATCCTCCAACTGTTCTATCCTTGCAAATGCATTGGTTTTTGAAACACTCACGGAATGCATTATCACAACATACCTTTACACAGGTTTTAATCATGTCATTCATCTTGTATTGTGAGAAAAAAAAGTGGTTCAAATTCAGTTGCTGGTTGCTTATTGAGGAATCTACCAATAACTACGTTGGTAACATGTCCCTATTGAACTTTTATTTAAAAAAGAACCAGGTGCCTCAGTTTAGTGGAGAATACGGTCCCTCAACGCTTGTCAAATCTAACCTTTTTTTGAAAGTGACTTTAGTTATTAATCATTGCAACTTTCCAGAACATAATGCTAATTGTGTAGTAAGACAAATTGCTATTTAACTTTTTGGGGCTACTTATCAAGAAAAGAAGAAAATTCATATACTTATTGCTTCCTGTTTTGTATGACAAACATTTTTGCTCTGCCAAATTGAAGCATGGTACATGTAAGCCCATCTTAATTTGACTTGCCAGCTGCCAATCTAGCTTGAAGGTGACACAACTAGAAGGTATTTGCACCGTAAATATGACTGTCGAAATTATAGTTGGGCCGTGCTTACAGAGGTGTAATTCTGGCCTAAAGATGCAACTGTGACTTTGGGGGGTGGGGGGTTTACGACCCCGGATACCTGGTAGAGAGATATATGGGTTTGTGCCCTGTTCAGTATGCCCAAATTTATAAGACGAAGCCTTGTGGGACACGACTCTACTCGGCGCCTCCCGCAAGACATCTGGAAGATATTCTGAAAATACTATGAGATCCGTTAGGATATGTATGATCCCAAGATTCCGTAATCGCTTATTACTTTCCGGTTATCTCTTAGATCTAACCGACTTGTAACCCTACTCCCGGACTATATATAAGGCGGGGTGGACCCCCTCAAACACACGCAATATCATACGATAGCTAATACAAACCAACAGACCACGTGAGTAGGGTATTACGTCATCATCGACGGCACTGAACCTATCTAACTCGTGTGTCTCTGTTGCCTTCTTGTTTTTGATCTCACGCCTCTCGCCGATCAATCTACCTTCGTGGGATACCCCTCGGAGGATCGCCGACGATATTCGTCGACGTTGGCACGCCGCTGTAGGGGCTTATGTCTTTGTTTCCTTGTCGAACAAGATGGTTTTTTCCGCAGGCTCTTCGTTCCTCCCGTAGCCCGGCCAGATCTTCACGGTCGGGTCGATCTCCTGGATCATCAACGCTGACAGAGTCGGAGAGTTCCTCGAGCCGGCGCAAATCGATTTCTGGCCGATCACCTCGCTTTTGCATCTGCAGATCCGATCTCACAATCACCTCCGAGGTCGCCTTCATCAGCAACCCGTCGCCCGCTTCCTCGCTACCAGAGGAGGCAGATCAACAACGACGATCTGATCGAGTCCATCGATCGGGTCGGTCTAAAGCTCGCCAATTGTCTCTCCGTCGCCGAATCAGCTCTGAACGCTTTGGTTCAGCGCCGACCACCCTCCGATCCGAATCTACCGGAGGCTGCTCGAAAAACTCCAGGAGTTACGGCGCTGCCCTTCGGGCTCATCAACGTCGCCGCCACCTACCAAGACACCCTGAGGGGCGAATTCGCCGACCAGGTGGGATGCGCCCATCCACTCGCCGATCAGATCGTCGTCCAGCCTCTGCCAGCCGTTAACATGCTACACTTAGGGCGGTGCCCCGGAGTGTCCCTCAGACCATTCCGAAGGAAAATCAGGGTTCTGAGTCTCAGGGCTCTACGGAGACCCTCGCCAAACCTTTTCCGAGCAACTCTTTCTCCCACCCTTCCGGGGTAGTGCGATCTTCAACGTCGGCGTCGACAGCCCTCCTCAGAACGGCGAAACCGAGGAGGAACGCGTTGCTCGTCAACCGCGCGCAGCGCCGAGAAAACGAGGCAGCCATTGTGAGGGCCGAGGCTGCTCGGAATAATCGGCTCGATTCACAAGGAAGGCCACTCCCGCTCCACCGTGACCTCGACGAAGAGTTTCTCCGCGTTGACGGCCATGATGTCTTCAAGACTCAAGCGCGAATCTGGCAGTGGCCGCCAATGAGCTCGCCCGCCTCCCGGAGACGCCCGAGCTCGCCAAAGTCGCCGCCATGCTTAAAGCGGCACACTGTCAGGTTAATGAGATTCGAGAGGATCAGAGACATTCGTGCTCCACGAGCACGATTCGCCGATCATTGCGCTTAAGATCCAATCGCCGCCCGATCCAAAGCCGTTTAAATCGGCCAATCGGCGCCCCTCCGTGGGGGAGCCGGGGCCACCGCGCGCCAACACCATCGCCAAAGACAACTAGGAGGTCGAGCAGACGCCGAAAGTGCACCTCAAGAACCTCCGGATGCACGACGACGACGATCGAGCAACGCCGCCGGTAGCCACGAAGGCGACGAGGTACGCCCGCCAGAGTACTGGCGGGGAGTATGGAAACTCGGACTCGGCTCTCGGCGAGATCGACGTCGGCAACGCCAGTAGCCGACGCCGACCACAACCCCAAAGGGCCCCAGCGCCACGAGGCACTCCGAACACTCCAGTGGCCCCGTGGTTTCAAAATCACCGAGGTCGAGCCTTACGAGGAAAGGATGAATCCAACACAGTGGCTACAGGCTTATGCCATCGCCGTCTGCGTGCCACCGGGGGAGACATCAATGTCATGGCGAACTATCTGCCCATCATGCTCACGCCACCCGCCATGAGCTGGTTTACTAGCCTTGCCCCAGACTCCATCGGATCCTGGGAAGAGCTAAAAAAAG